AAGAGTGGAATGAGACAGGTTTTTTTCCTAATTGGGCTCTTCTGCTGAAGAAATCACACCACACATTTTAAAAAATGTTTAATCAGGCTCCTTCTGTGAGGATTCCTAACCTATAAAACTAAGCTCTCAGGTTTTGAAAGAGCATTGAGCAGATTAATAGCCAGCTATAAGATGAGAAACAGCAGTAGAAAAATTATTTTCTCAGAGAGGTTACCAGTGAAATCCCAAAGGAAACTGCACTATTCAATACATACAATGCAGCAATAAAGTTTCTTTACAATCCAAACTTATCCAGGACAATCAGCTCAAAACATGACTGCAAAGCCTTATTCTCTTAGTTTTCCACCCTGGCACTCAGTAGTAGCATCCCAAGGCTAGCGATCAGACATTTGATGGGAAATACAATCCTCAAGCAGAGAATCAAGATTTTTAAATCAGCTGTTACCACACAGGAAAAATATCTACAAGATACCATGGGAAAGCTTCCTTGAAAGGTTACACTGATTGGCCAGTCACCATCAAAAAGAAAGCTAGACATTTTTAGGAAAAGCATTTGAATGAAAATAGCAAAACATTTATTCTGTTAAGTCTACTGTGTGCACATTGAAAACCTCACAAAGCTCTGACCACTCATTTTGAGGGGGATACAGGCGAACTAGAAGACAAAGAGCACAATAGCAATGCTGAGCAGAGAGATGCAATGTCTTCAGTATAAGAGGAGACTTGATAAACTATTGTTCTTCTGCTTAGGGAAAAACCCCACAAAAAACCCAAACAGTAAGGTATATATGCGGCTTTTGGTTTATGGTTTATCAGGTCTAGTAACAGAGTCACATTTTTCTCTCTTCAGATGCTAAAATGCTCCCATCCTTTTCTAGAAGGTTCCAAAATTTAAAGCCTACTGTATCAGACTACTAACCCATATATTCCTACCTTCTTGCATTATCCTTTTTACAACATGCAAGAAGTTTGAGAGTACTTAGATATCTGCACTTTCAAAACATCCTTATCACTGTAATGAAATACAGTGTTTTAACTTTGTAGATGACAGACTATGACAGAGCTTTCGTCACTTAATTCCAAATAGAAAATGAGCTTCTAATGGCATGAAGTCTAGTTGGAGGCCAGTAACTAGCAATGTACCTCAGGAGTCAATACTGGGTCCAATCCTGCTCAACATCTTCATTAATGACCTGGATGACAGGGTAAAGTGCATCCTCAGCAAGTTTGCTGATGACACCGAACTGGGAGGAATGGCTGATGCGCCAGAGGGTCATGCTGCCATCCAGAGGGACCTCAACAGGCTGGAGAAATGAACTGCCAGGAATCTCATGCAGTTCAACACAGGGAAGCGCGAAGCCCTGCACCTGGGCAGCAATAACTCCATACACCAGTATATGCTGGGCACTGACCTGCTAGAGGACAGCCTTGCAGGCCAGACCCTGTGAGTCCTGGTGGACACCAAGTTGAACATGAGCCAGCAACAAATGCTAGGCTGCATTAGGAAGAGTGTTGCCAGCAGGTGGAGGGAGGTGATCCTTCCTCTCTGCTCAGCACTGGTAGGACCACACCTGGAGTGCAGGGTTTGGTTCTAGGCCACCCACACATAGACATACTGAAGAGAGTCCAGCAAAGGCCCATTAAAGATCAGGGCACTGGAGCATCTCTCATAAGAAAGGCTGACAGTGCTGGGAACACCCAGCCTAGAAACGAGAGGTTCAAGGGAGATCACATCAATGTGCACAAATACCTGAAAGAAGATGTTGAGAGCCTGGCTCTGTCTTTTTTTCAGTGGTGCCCAGTGCCAGGACAAGAGGCAATGGACACAGACTGAAACACAGGAGGTTTCATCTGAACATCAGGAAACACTTTTTCACTGTGAGGGTGAACTGAGCACTGGCACATGTTGCCTAGGGAGGTTGTGGGGTCTCCCTCCTTGGAGATACTCAAAAGCAGTCCAGACATGATCCCGGAAAGCCTGCTTTAGGAGACTCTGCTTGAGCAGGAGTGGTGATGACCTCCAGAGTTTCCTTCTAACCTCAACCATTCTGTGATTTTGTGAAATGGTGTTTTCAAACTACTTGGGACTAAGCCATTGTACTGTTTGGCTAAATATTCTCATTCTCCTCACCAACAATTTTCAGTTATTAGGGTAATTTAATTTGCTATGAATATCAACATATATTTATACAATATAATGACCAAGAGATTTAGAAGATTCACAGGTTTAATAAAACCTGACACACAATTGTTCATAAATCATTACCTCACCTCTCACTCATAACCTGCTGTATTTTCAATACCAGTTCTTGCTTCTCCTAAATATATCAGCAGTTAGTACAGTAACCTCTTTTCATTACTGGTTTTCACCATAAACATGCTCCATTAGCAGAGAAATCCATAAGAATTAAAGTATGTATCAGGAAAAACAGTTTGGATTAACAAGATGAGAATGTCACTGAATGACTATTTTAGTATTCCTCTGGCAATATGACTATCAGAGCATGCTTGCTCCCCTTGAAATGCAAAACAGTCGATATTCTGATGCAGGTCCAGCTCAGATCCATGAACCCAAACCCCTTCATCTCAAGAAAAATCAAACCACAAAAGTCATACTTAGTGCACTTTACACAGTAATTGATTAAAAAAAGAATAATGAGACACATTATGAAAATGCTTGACAGTTAACCAAAATTGAGAATAAACATTAGTGTCCTCTTTTGTAGAAAGTGTCTAGCTGATTACAGAAGTATTACTTTTAGGTCTGTCCTTAGTTTATCAGAGAGGAAAGTGGATACCTGTAGATGAGCTGGAACAGTAAAACTAGAAGCATATCTTACTAGTATGAATTCATAAACTGAATTTATAAGTTAGAGTAATATTCCTAAAATTGAACCAATCCTCAAAAAGTTGATTCTGTGAAACAGCAACAGGTATTCAAATACTCAGAAGATAGACGAGGAAATATGAAATCTGTTTGTAGTCAGCAAACAGAAAACATAGTAAGGTTTCCCAGAAATACAGAAACCATAATCAGCTATGTTCTGTTTTCTCTTTAGTCAGGAAAGAAAAAACCTGTAATAATAATGGGGACCCTTTATGATATTAATATGAATTTTAAGTATTCTCTTTTTTTTGTTTCAAAATTACAAATGTATTTTCTCAAAATATCTGTATGCATAGCTATATATTCATCTTACATTTCTAACTGTTTTGCATTAGTATAAATGCTGTTAAATCCAGATTTTTTTATCACAATGCTATAATAGAAACAGTGTAGCTAAGGAAAGCTGGTTATTGTAAACTTACTACATTTCATAAGCTAGAATTAACCTGAGTTTTTGTAAAACAAAGGGCAGAAATTGCCCTATCACCTATGCTGTTAACAAGAAAATTACAAAATTTAGGTTCCAGCTTTGTAAAGAACCATCCAGCTTTTACTTTGGGATGGTCACCACAGTAAATATTTTAAGGGTCTTCATCTACAGCCTCCTGCACTCCCTTCAAAGAATTACCTCCTAGAAATGACAAAAAGCAATAACCAAAGATTATCTGATAAGAGATAATATTGATCTTTTGTTTCACACCATCAACATATATCCAAAGATTAAATTTCTTATGCATCTTCTTTCTAACAGAACTACAGCTACTGGGAATTTCTCTTGCTTGGTTTCAACAGGTAATGGCACTAATTCATATAATATCACCATCAGGAGGTGTAAGAAGAGAAAGTTGAAGGTAACAGTCTGAAATAAATATGGTATTTCTGATACTATTTCAAAACATATAGTGTTTAACAGCTTACCATTTCTCAGGCAAACAACTGCCTTCATCCTTGCTTCCTACTCCCACTCTAACTCCAAACCCTCAAAGTTAGTGAAGCAGTAGGAGGCAAAAATGAGAAGTAGTTATTTTCTATGAAATACAGGATTGACATTCAATTAATTTCAAGATTACTAGAATACATTTTAACTGTTTACAGCTTCTTTGTTCCCATGAGAAATAATGTTTTCTAATTATTCTCTTTTTTTCCATTTAAGAAATGATGGCATCCACTCTTGAGTAACTGTTTGGAAAAAAAAAAAGTACCTGTGGCTGAAATGGTGGAGCAGTAGGCCCCTGCATGCCTTGTGACTGTTCATCCATTCTATCAGGTGAAAGTGTCCCTTATAGCCTGAAAAGAGAAATACAGTCATTACACTGTAATTCAATCTGTATTTACAATCAATGAACATCAGCATAACTACTGAAGAATTCTCATTCATGTGCCTGAGTTTACGAACAAACATTTAACTATTCCAGCCCTGCACTGTTTTGGAAAAGAAGTTTTCTTATGTTTAGCTGTTCTGTATAATGAAGTAAAACACTATATACATCTGAACTTATTATTAAAAGATGTGCATTAAACAACTTGAGCCAGACAAATGGCTCTGTCTGATAAAAGCTGCATCACCCCACTTATTCTTCAGAGGCACCAACCACTTATTTAGCTACATAGACATCTGCTGGCCAGTACCTTAGACCTATGGGCAGCATGGGAAATAGCAGATCAGCAAGAGAATTATAACTGCTGCATACATGCTGTTTACGTTTTATTAATTTATCTGTACATTTTAGGGCCTATACAAGAGTAGTTCCATCTAAACAGAAAAAAGCTAAGCATGTACACTCATTACATTCTGACAAGCTAGCTAAGAGGGCTTTGAGATACCGTATTATGAGCACAGCCTCTATTCTCAACTATCAACCTTTCATATCCTGTCAATAAGATGGGAGGAAAGATGTCTGGCAAGTTCCCAAGACAGAGACGAGAGGCTTTGACCAATAGTAAGGGTGGCAAAATGTGCTGAATCATTGTTAGGAAGAATAGGAGAGACAAAAATGCAAATGCTCACAGGGTTTTTTTCTCAGCTAAGCAAATCCTTTCTTAGGCTACACAACATTTTGTTGAGGGGGAGCAGGTGCAGCACCCAGTATTATTGGTGCCTGTGAGGGCCAAGTCTGTTCAGATGAAGACAACAGAAAGTTTACCAGCAGCTTCAAGTGCAAACAGTGAAATAATTTTTTATACAATAAGAGGCAAGCCCTGAACAACTTTTTCATCACACAAAGTGTCTCTGCCTATTACCTGGTCAAACCTGACAAGGTCTTCAAGAGGAAGAAGAGTCACGTGTCTGACTGGAAAACTATTCTTGCTTTTTGATTTATTATTTCTTTTCTTACTTCCTGCTCCAAATCCTTAAAGTTCTAGGGATGGTTTGAGATAAAGATTATAGGTACCAGAAAAGTGGTTTAACATCAGGAAATTTTATGATAAATCTATATGTTTAAAACACTGCAAACATGTCCCTCTGCACAGAGCTACTTATGTGTCACAACTCTTTCTTCAGAAAGAGTACATAAAAATTTCTCAAATATTAAGTTCAGCACGAAAGCATACAATCTGCTCTTAAAACACATAAAACAAATCCTCCCAGTTATTTCTTTAGAGAATATTAAAAAGGTTAGAAATAACTCCCAACAGAAAGCAGCAAACCTTAGAAATGTTTTTCAAAGTCAACTGCAAAATATTTTAAAAACTCTAACAAATAGTTTGTGTTCACAGTACTGTAGTCATTCTTACAGCACCACTGTGATAACATTACTAATAGGTAAAACAATCACAAACCAGCTTTGCAAAGTTCCTCAATATGCTGCCCTAGTGTATTGAACAGTGGACTGGATACACAAACCCAATCATTAGCGATCTGCTTTCACTGCCCAGTTTAAAGCAGTTACGCCATGCCATTCCAGAACCATCAGCTATCTGTACCACCAAACCACAGCCATCCTCCACTGTGACTAAGGGTCCCCACAGCTTTGCCTTCCTATCCTTAGTACTCCTGTACAAAGCATAGTTTGGGGCTTTCTGTTGTTTTGTCTGAGTACTAGCTGTAATTAATCCAAAGATAAGAGATCTCAAAAAAAAAAAAAAGCCATTTCAGGCAGTTCAAGAGAGAAAAAAAAAATCAATTATCAAACTGAGGTGTGAGGCAGAGTAGAGGAGGTAGGAATTGCAGAGATTTCTAAGACTGTAAGAATGAGCATGGTGAGAAAGGGGGCAACAGCTGGCAGATACACCCGCACACACTGGCTAAGCAATCTTTTACCCAGCACCTAGGACACCAATATTGACAATTCTTGCAAGTTCTATAACATTTCCCATACAACCTTCCCACCAAGGCCAGAAATCCTAACACTGAAAAATCACACTTTTGTCACAAAACTGCACCTAAATTCTCCAGTTTGATTCACAGGGCTTTGTGCAGTTGTGACAAATTCAGGGGGAGGAATGCATGGCAATCTTAAGGAATCTTCTGCTCTGAAAAGCCTTTATAAGGACTTCAATCTTTTTGATAGCAGCAATATTTGTACTGAAAGTTTTGTAGTGTGTTTTACTAATATGTTTATATATTGAAGACAGTTGACCATATAATGCACCAATAGATAATTCCTATGGGTCACAAACACTTGTTTCAAAATCCCTGGGAAAAAAAAGTAAATACAAATCTCTTTATCCTCTATTGCAGACATCTACCCATGATTAATGAGATCTACGCTGAAATATTTAGATTATGTATGTTGTTGTATACAACCCATTCATCTTGTCTGAATAGTCACAGGCACTGACTGGAAGTGTTTGGGAATTTGCATCTTTTTTTTTTTAATTTGGGGAAAAAAAAAGTCATATCATTACCACTGCCAGTGGCTCTGCCCTCTGTGGCTTGTTTTTATAATAAAAGTAAGCAAACTAGAGGTAACAAATATTCTACCATAGGAAGCATGGAAGATTTATTGGTTTGTTGTTGCTTTTGCAGAAGAAAGACAAAGATTGGTATTTTTTTGTCCATATATGGAAGTTCTTTTATTTTTTTTAACTTGTTTTTGTCTTTGAAGACTGCATGATAGATTCACATTTTAGAGTAATTTGGCATTTTGATCATACAAAATGCCAAGGATGCAAAAAAATGCCAGGGATGCAAAATGAATCTTTTGTACTGTTTGTCAACATAAGCAAGAATTAGATTTTGCTGCTTGAAGACTGTTTTCAAAGTAAGGCATGCCTTTCACCTTGATAATAAACTCCAGAGGTCAAAACACACTGGTATAATATTAATCATCTTAAATTTAAATTGAGACAATAATTATTACTCTCCCAAAGATGGTTTTCAAGTTCTAATTTATGGTGAAAAGACACTAAAAATACTGCCAAAGAGTCATCGCCTGTTTAAAATTGAAAAGCGAATATAAAACACATCTAAATGTGACGTCTATCACCTCTTCAAACAAATAATACAATGACCTTCTTCTGCAAATCCATCACCACAATATACATTGGTTCATGGAAAACAGAAAACAAAGTGAGAGGCAAGCCAACTATACCACCACCACTCAAAACTTCCAAAGTGCCAAAACATAACTAATGTTTTTAAATGCTCTCACACCGATCATGGAGGAGGAAAGGACTCCTTGCCTTCACCACACTTGCAAAGACAGGAACAATGAAAACCTCTCTGAATCACTTATCTTGCAAATACGACTCTCATCATTTTGAACATGAAAATTATTTGGATTCAGACCAACCTGTACACAACAGCAACCACAGGAACACAAGTATATGCACTAAATCTTACGCTCCAGTTATGGTTGCTAACGCTCTGCAAGTATGAGAAGACTTTCTGATAACTACTAATATTTTAAATATTTGTCTTTTTCATTTGATCGAAACAGTAAGTGGCACCTACACATAAAGGATACAAGATGAAGTACCTGGGGATACAGACAACACAACCAATTTTGCAATTGCATAGCAACTCCTCTAATTGACACTACTTACTCCACACGCTGAGTCCACACAACAGTGAAAGGAAGTCAAGTCCTCACCAGTAAATCAGACTATCAAACTGCATCAGCTGGGAATAACACTTTTCCTTTCTTCATACACAGGTCTTGTTGTCCTTACTCACTTCCTTAGGAGCCACCTGTCAAAGCTCTCTGATACCTGCCCACACATATAAAGATCATGCAAAGGTACAAAGTAGCCCAAAATACAAGGGCACATTCCCACACCCCAACAGAAGCTCCCATCCCACCATCTGCACTCAGCTTTCCAGGTGGTTTCCATCAGCCTGTTAGAGGAGAGGTGGGCCTACCCACAACTGTTAGTGAAATCAGAGCAGAGGACCTACTCCTGAACAGAAACCAGAGCTCATTGCTGACATTTCACTGGAATATATTTTAAAATAATATTTAAAAGAAAAAAGATACCTGGGAAAAACTTGAAATCTTTGTGACTTTCAAGTCTTTCCACTAAGTCTTTATAAATATGATCAAATCATTTCAGGAGACAAAGCTTAAATGCACTGCCTAATCACATGAAACATGCTTTTTAAACACTAGTTTCATAGCTCAAAGTCCATAAACCATTCACATTGAAATACCTTTCACAGTATTCAGGCAATAATGTTATTGCTTTAACAGATGGTCGTTCTACAACAACAAAAAATACAATGCTCTCCTGTAGAAATCATTTCAATGATACATGATTTCCATTAGCTACATGCTATACACTTGTTTGTTAATTTTGGATCTTAATTGGGGACATTCAATAATCAATGTCAAAAAAGAAACAGCTTGTATTGGGTTTGCTTGGCAAGTTTTTGGTAGCAGGGTGGCTACAGGGGTGTTTTTTTTGAGAAGCTGCCAGAAGCTTCCCCCATGTCTGACAGAGCCAATGCCAGCCGGCTCCAAGATAGACCTGCACCTGGACAAGGGGTCATCAGCCCATCAGCCATGGTGGTAGTGCCTCTGGGATAACAGAGTTAGGAAGGGGCAAAAAAAAGAAAAGGAAAAAAAAACACCAGGAACAATTGCAACCAGAGAGAGGAGTGAGAAGACGTGAGAGTAACAACTCTGCAGACACCCAAGTCAGTGAAGAAGGGGAGGAGGTGCTCCAGGCACCAGAGCAGAGATTCCCCTGCAGCATGTGGAGAAGACCACAGTGAAGCAGGCTGATCCCCTGCAGCCCATGGAGGGTGATGGTGGAGCACATATCCACCTGCAGCCCGTGGAGGACCCCATGCAAGAGCAGGTGGCTGCATCTGAAGGAGGCTGTGACCCCA